TTGTTTGGCGGGTCCGGGCTGGGGATTCGAACCCGCCGCCTTAGGTGTACATGGCTGGCGCCTTAGCCGGTTGAGCTATAGGCGCCGAGCCAAAACCAAATTTTTCTGATTGCTACCTTAAAAAATCAGGGCTGGGCATAGTGGCTTATACCTGTAATTCTAGCATTTTGAGAGGCTGAGCTGGGAGGATCACTTGATGCCAGCACTTTTAGAACACACTGAGCAACATAACAAAACCATCACTACAGAAAAAAGAAAAATCAGCCAGACATGTGGTGTGCACCTGTAGTTCCAGCTACCAGGGAGGCTGAGGCAGCAGGATAGCTTGAGCCTAGGAGTTTGATGTTACTACATTGAACTATGATTGGGCCACTGCACTCCGGGCCAGGTGACTGTCTCAATTTAGGAAAAACAAATTCAGAATGCAGACTTCCATTACTGTTGTGATTTCTCACTCTAAAACAAACTTTCTGGGTGCAATTTCATATACTTCTAGAGCAAAGGTCAGCATACTTTTTCTTTAAAGGGCCACATAGTCAATATTTTAGTCTACAGGTTACATGGTCTCTGTAGCAACTATCCAAGTCTACTGTTGTAAGCATAAAACCAGCCATAGACAATCTGTAAATAAATGGGTATGACAGTAATTCAGTAAATAAATTATTTATCAAAACTAAAATTAGAATTTCATGTAATCTTAATGTGTCATGAAATACCATTCTTCATTTGATTTTATTTTCAACCATTTAAAACTGTAAAAGCTTTCTTAGCTCATGGGTTGAATGAAAACAGATGGTGGGCCAGATTAGGCCCATAGCCATGTTTTACTAATCGGTGTCCTGTGGCCTAAAGTTTCAACTATTGCTTGTAGCCTAGTTTCTCTCCTAAGTCTTATATGCTGTCCAAATACCCACTAAACATCACTTCAAACATGACAAAAATTAAAATTTTTTTTTTGCCCTGCTTCATTTACCAGTCTTAGTTAATGGCACTTAATATCTGCTTACTGACTGTATAGCAAAGGGGCCTTAAGACTGCTATTCTTAAATAGGCCTTTCTTACAAGGTTAGCAGTTGACTGGTTCATGTCTGCAAATTTGGATTTCAAGAGTGTTCTCAGTCTAGGAACTACTCTGATCATGTCATCCCCAGGCTTAAAATTATTAACACTCTAATAGCGTGTAGTATAATGTTAAACATCTTAATGCAGCATTAAAAGTCTTTATGGTGTGTCTGAGTTTGTCTTTATAAGCTTCTGCCAATCCCCAACATACACTTTATACTGTGACCATACCAAACCATTTGCAGTTCCCTAAACAAACTCTTTTATTCCCAAAAGCTTACACACTGGCTTTTTCCTCAACCTGGATTGCCATTGCCTTTCTTAACCAGAGAACAAATTCTTGCTCATTTTTTAAAACTTTGGTCCTAATTTAAAGTCTGTTCTTCTAAATAGGTTAGTTCCTTCCATGTTGCTTCCATAGCACTATGTGCATTCAGTTTTTATCACATTACATTTATATTATTTGTTGTATTTGTCTCCTCCTTTTTTAGACTGAGGGGTCCTTGAAGGTCAAGTTTAGACCTTGTTTGATCTAGCAGAGGACCTGGTACTTAGTAGGTGGTGTTCAATAATGCAGAGTGTTTTCAAGGACTAGGTGTTATGTGTCTTCTGATTGATACAGTAAAACGGGGAAGGACAGGGTAATGTGGAAGTATATATTTTCTCCTCAAAAGTTTGATTTCAGGAAAGTTTATAGAATGAAATGGGAGTATAAAATTAACATGTAGTTACTTATAAACATAGATATACATTAGGGCAAAAACAAAGAAAAATAATTATTTGAAGTTTTTGTCTTATTTTGCAAGAGAACTTCACCATATTTGTGTTATTATTTTATATAGGTGGAAATGGATATTGTTGAAAAATTGGTAAAAATGATACCCTGTGAGCATGAAGACCTACTGAACATCACCCTCCGACTTTTACTAAACTTATCCTTTGACACGGGCCTGAGGAATAAGATGGTACAAGTTGGACTGCTGCCCAAACTGACTGCACTCCTAGGTATGCCTTTTAAAAATTAATGACAGTGCTTTGGAATTTCCAACATCATGGAAAATTGAGCTCTGTATTAAAAAGTCTCTTGCACAAAAAAGCATTATATATATATGTGTGTATGTATATATAATTTCATTGGGAACGAAATAATAAAAGTAAACAAAATAAATGAAAAATTTATTTATTTTCCATGGTGCTGTAGAAGGAAAATAGAATAGAAACTATTAACTCTTTGACTTCATTTACCCAGACTGAACCAGAATGAAACTGGGGAAGCTAGGGAAAGTCAGGGAAGCAAGAACGAAAAACTATTTTCTCTTCAGCATTGTTTTAAAAAGGAGGTGTAATTTAAATTCTCACATTCTGGCTCGGCGCCTGTGGCTCAAGTGGCTAAGGTGCCAGCCACGTACACCTAAGGTGGCAGATTCGAATCCAGCCCAGGCCTGCCAGACAACAATGAGGGCTGCAACCAAAAAATAGCCAGGCGCTGTGGTGGGTGCCTGTGGTCCCAGCTACTTGTGAGGCTGAGGCAGGAGACTCCCTTGAGCCCAGGAGTTGGAGGTTGCTGTGAGCTGTGATGCCATGGCACTCTACCTAGAGGGACAGCTTGAGGCTCGGTCTCAAAAATTGAATGAATAAATAAATAAATAAATAAATAAAAATAAAATAAAATAAAAATTCTCACATTCTGCCATACTTTTAAAATACCACTTACAAGTAAATGAATTTGTGGACAATTTTTGTCATTAATTTTAAAAGAGTGTTTTGTATACCATATTAGTATAAGACAAAAGGAAAGGGCAAAAGTGATGTCGTAGAATGAATGTAACATAGTGACTGGGTGTGGATAATGATAGAAAAAGATGTCATCAAATCAATGACTGCTAGAATGCTAGTGCTAGCAATAGAAATAGAGAAGTGGCTCGGCACCTGTGGCTCAAGCAGCTAAGGTGCCAGCCACATACACTTAAGGTAGCGGGTTCGAATCCAGCCCGGGCCCCCGCCAAACAACAGTGATGGCTGCAACCAAAAAATAGCTGGGCGTTGTGTCAGGCGCCTGTAATCCCAGCTACTTGGGAGGCTGAGGCAGGAGACTCACTTGAGCCCAGGAGTTGGAGGTTGCTGTGAGCAGTGAAGCCAGGGCACTCTACCCAAGGGCTCAGCTTGAGGCTCTGTCTCAAAAAAAAAAAAAAAAAATAGAGAAGTGGAAAGGAGGCAGTTTGAGTGATTGATTTAGTGTCAAACACGTTAGGGACATCTCAGACAAACATGTTCAGTAGGCAGATGGAAACATGGGTCTCGATCAGTGTTTTTCAACCTTTTTTTTAATCTCCTGGCACACTTGAACCTTTAGTTAAACTTCCACAGCACACTTAAATTATGTTGATCAAAAAAAGGAGTGAAAAAAAGAAAATAATTACTATGCTTTGAACTTCTTTCAGAAATAATTTAATTAGTGGTCTTTAAAACCTAAGTCGTCTCCTGGCACACCAGTGTATTAAGGCATACCAGTTGAAAATCACTGGTCTAGAGCTTAGGAGAGGCCTTACCTTTTAAAAAATTAAAAATTTGTCCAATAGGTATTGAAAGACAAAATCACTAAGGGGTACATAACAATCAGAAATATGCTTGCCTTTAAACAAATATATAAAAATACAGCAAGTTTAGGCTGTCACTGAGAAGTGGTGATGATATTAGAATTTTCATGGAATAGAGAAATGAGGAAGCTTTGAGTAAGGAGAGCAACTGAAAACTACCACTTTTTGAATCATTCTTTCACACTGTTGCTTCATCATTTTCTTTGAAATATTATGAATCCAGTATATCAGATTTTCTTATATTAGGGAGAGAAAAGTTGGTATTATTCTTTTTTTTTATTTTTTGAGATAGCGTCTCAAGCTGTCACCCTGGGTAGAGTGCCGTGGCGTCACAGCTCAGAGCAACCTCAAGCTCCTGGGCTTAAGCTTTTCTCCTGCTTCAGCCTCCCAAGTAGCCGGGACCACAGGCACCTGCCCCAATGCCCGGCTATTTTTTGGTTGTAGTTGTCATTGTTGTTTGGCGGATCTAGGCTGGATTTGAACCAGTGTATGTGGCTGGCGCCCTAGCTGCTTGAGCCACGGTGCTGAGCCAGTTGGTATTATTCTAACCTTATATATTATATGGTTAGAGATGGAAGATCTTAAATTTCCATCTCTATTTTTGGCTGATCTTTAAAACCAAACTGTGTATCAGTTTTCTCATTTCCAGTATGTGGGCTCTAATGGCTTATGTTAATAAGAAAGAGTTAAATGAGATAATGCAATAAATGTTAGGAAATTATATGTGAAATAACTGTCAAAATACATACAATAGAAATGGACCTTTTTTGATAGGTAAGTGTTCTAAGGCTTTGGGGCTGTTAGGGGTGTTTAATCATTTCAGAGGAAGGTATCGTGTCTTAAGCCCTTCAGGTTGCTATAACAGAATACCGTAGACTGGATGATTTAACAACAGAAATTTATTCTCACTGTTCTGGAGGCTGAGAAGTCTAAGATCAAGGTGCCAACAGACCCAGTGTCTGGTAAGGGCCCACTTCTTGATTCATAGACAGCTGTCTTCTTGCTGCGTCCTTACATGGTAAAAGGGGTTAGGGAACTCTTCTAAGGTACTTAATAAGAGTTCTAATCCCATACAAGATGGCTGTGCTACCATGATATAATCACCTCACAAAGACCCAGCCCCAAATATTATCACATTGAAGATTAGGTTTCAACATATGAAATTTGAGGGCCCATAAAAGTCTAGTTTATAGTGGATCTTTTAAAACTCAAGTATATTTTTTGTTTTCTAAAATATTTTCTTAACTTTAATACCTTGAATATAGTTTAATATTTTATTGAGAAGCAGTATAGTGTAGTCTTTAAAACCAGGGATTTTAGAGCCAGAGTGTCAAGGTTCAAGAGTTCTATCTGTGTGTAGCTTTTAGTATTTTTATAATCAATTATTCAAGTTTACAAGTCTGAAGATAATTTAGTTTATAGGGCTGTATTATTACTGTGCTCCAGGATTTTTTCTCTTACTAAATAGCCGCACAATGCCATGTATTTTTAATTTTTACATACAGTTTTTGAGTTTCTCCCCCTCCCCTTCCTTGGCTGGCACTTTTCGTTTCTTCTGCCCCAGCAGCATTGCTATAGCACCAGTTTTCCTCTTCTATAATGGTAAATTTCTAATCTCCTGTAGTCTTGGAAACCAACAACTGAGCTTATTTGAATTATATAATACTTTAAAAAATGATTTACAAATAAATTTCCCATGGATTGTCTTTCTAGTAACGTTCTTGTGCATTATTGCATGGACCCTATAGCATTGTTTTACTTTGGAGAAACCTGTTTTGCTTAATTGTGGCTCTCTGCTATGTAAGAAATTGTGGTTAGTATATAATTAATATCCCAGTTTATTAGAATGGTCATTTTTATGTTTGTTAATGTATATTTTATATGTATAGAAAGTTAAATCCTTAACTCCTAACACAATAAGCTAAACTTCTCAGTTGAATAATTCCACGATACATTTAGCATCTATAGTTTGGCCACTATGCTTACGTATTTTTTCCACCATGCTTATATTAATACAAAAGATGTAATAAGAAAGCTGTATTAAAGACGGCATAGATTTTAAAGGAATTGAAAACATTCGTCTAGAGCAGTGTCTTTCTAACATTTTTACCGCAGTCTGTAGTAAGATACATTTTACATTGCAGTCCAACATCACTCCCATGTTTATGTGATATATATGTTTGTTTCTATCTATAACCGTATGTGGATGTCAGTATACATTATATATTATTTACGATATATATTATATATTTTAACATATGCAGTTAACAAAAATGTTCACTAAACAGTATTTACCTTTTCTATATGCAGTGCATATGTTGTATTATTGGGTCATTGATTTTATGTTCCCAGTTGATTTGATGCTTCGTTAAACATCAGGTCACGAGGGGAACTGATTAGGCTTCTTTCCCTTCAAACCTTAAAAATACCACTGTTTCTGCTGGATTTTTTTTTTTTTACTTTTATTTTAAATTGATTTTTAATGTATTAAACAGTAGGTAATCTAAATTATTTTAGGGTGTTTTTGACAAGCACCTGAAGTGATTTCATGGACCTGAAATTTAAAGAAAAATGGGAAATAACTTTCTGGAGATCAAATATTTAAAGAATTTGAGGTGTATTTTCTTCTTTGTATTCGTGGAGAAGGAATTAAAGAGCATACAGTGGAGTGTCAATAGTCAATTTGCTTTTTCCTTCAGAAATAAACTCAGTATTTAATGTTCAAATTGACAGATGACTGTCTAAATTAAAGAATCACCCATTACATATGCAGAAATTACTTAATTTCTAAAAGATGCAAAAATACTTATGGGCTATACATATGGTAAAATTTTTCAGGAAGTAATTTTTATGCTGTCTCAAGTAGACCTCCTGTCAGCTTTTAAGTAGGTTTTCTTTGTTATAATTTGGAGACCCCAGAACTGGACAATCTTTTTTATAGTTAATAATAGAATATTTTAACTCGAACGTGCACATAAAATCATGAATCTTCCGGGCTCTGGTAAATCTATGCAATATGAACAGTTAATCACCTTCTTTGTTTCCTGAAACATTTATCTAGTGCACTGCGACCCCTGCTGTTGTGAGATTGATATTAAGTGCTCTATAATCTTCCGCAAAGTTTACTTGGAGAATAAACTGCGAAATATATAAAGAAAGAAGATTTTGTGATTTAAACAATTACTAAAGTTAGAGGAGTTGTTTTATAGCTCAATTCTTTTGACATGTGAAACTTTGAGGGAATTCAACAGAACCAAAAATTATTCTAATATTTTCTATCACTCAAAGCATTCATTTAGGAGTTTTGAATTTAGGTTTTTCTTTTGACACAAAGGGGCACAAAAGGAGATTAATAAAGAATATTTAAAATTTTCTATCTTTCTGAGCCTCAAATTGATTTTTATGAAC